GAGTATGGGTCCAGGTCTTTGGCTCCCAGGGGCACAATGGGCGTTAACCCATGTGTCTTCGGGAGCAGGCCCAACTGAAAGTAACTTATAGTAACTTACATCGAGGCATCCATGGTGAGGGAGAGAGTGCAGGATGGAGCCATGGACGGCTCAGCCAGGGGGACGAGGAAGTGGGGTGGCTCCCACTGTTGCATGCACCTTTGGGAAAAGCATGGGGGGCATGTGCGTGGGGTGAGGGTGGACTGCCTGCTGTGCACTTGGAGCCAGGGCTGCACTCAGGGCAGGTGGCAGCACTGGGAAGAGAGGCTATGGGGAGGCTACAGAGAATTTTAGAGTGGCTGTAGCTCCCCCATAGGCCTCCCTCCTAGCACCACTACTGCCCAGCCCAAGCACAGCCCTGGCCTGGCCCCACTGGTGGGAAGAGACTGGCACAGCCCCTGGCCCTGAGCCCACAGCAGGCGGTCTGCCCGAGCCTCGTGCACAAATTTGGAGGGCATATGCCCCCCTCACCTCCCCTGAGGTACACACAGTGGTGGGAGCCGTCTCCCCTCCGCCCCAGCTGGGCAGTGCCTGCCCCTACCCCAGCCCCAGTCCCTTCTCACTGCGGGGGCCTCGATATGCCCCCCCCACCTCTTCCCTCCCCTATGTCCCTTCCCCCAACAAACTTACTAGCTGGAAACTGTTCTCCAAGCAGCTGGGCTGCATATCGGCAATCGGATCAGTATCAGCCGATATGGCTGGTTAATAATCGGTCATCAGTATCAACCGAAAAAATCTTTTATCAGTGCACCCCTATGATTCTGGTTCAACCTCTGGTTCAACCTCTGGTCTTTGATCCTGTTTAACCCTTGGCTTACCCTATCTCTGGCTCCAGCTTTTGACCCCAGCCTATCTTGACTTCAGCTATAGCTCCCAGTTCCAGTTCTGGCAACGGATCCTTCCATCCCCCCTCCTGGGAAAACAACTTGGACTGTACCTGTTCTTCAGGTGCCTAACCAGTAGGCCAGACCACTCATGCCCCAGTCCCTAACAAAATAAAACTCTTTTGTAGCTATTTTTTCATTATTTACATCTAAATATTAGTCTCTGTCCCTCTCTGAACCAAAATTCAGAGCCAGCTGCTTTAGCCAGAGCTTTAAATGGCCAATATTCATGCACATGAAAGTTATAAATGCACAAATGTAGGCTCAGTTTAAGAAGGGTAGAAAAACCAAGGATATTAGTGAATTATAGAAAGTCATAGCTGAAAGAGTCATGCAATTACAGAATTGGAAGTGACTTCAGGGGTCATCTGGTCCACCCTCCTGTACAAAATGTGATGTTTCTATTCTATCCTGGACAAATGTGTATCCAGCCTATTTGTGAACACCTCCAATGCAGAAGAATCTACAGCTTCTTTGGGGAGTCCCCTGGCATGGCCATATTAATTATGAATGGATTCTAGCATTTGGACGGAAGAGAAGGAAGTGCAAGGGCTGCATTTTTAGCAATTTTTTCCGTTATTTGAAGAAATGAATTGAAACCAGGCTCTAGTTTTCTTTCTTTCTCTATTCAAAACAAGATGGCCAGCAGAGTTGATTAAGTATGATGAACAGAATATGTGGGTCCTTCCAAAAAAGGTGTAATATTCATCTCTGGATCAAGCTGGAAGGAATTTGACTTTTAGAGTAACAGTGCCTCCCTGGCCTTTTCCTGGGTCAGAACAAATTCTGTGCTGCCACTATTCTTCAGCAATTTCTAGAACATTATTTTTTAAAATTTTTGGCTAAGTTATTAAACTGGATGATACAAGAAATAGAGTATTTATTGGGAAATTATTCTTACTCAAAATAGTATTTATTCTATCTTGCTTCCAAATCCAAAATTTTTACTGTATTACATGTTCTTATACTGATGACATATAATTTAACTGTAGATATTGTCAGATGGAGAGTCAATTTAAACATTGGGATAAGAGATACTTGGGTCATTTGATACTCAGTGGTAATGCTACCTCTTTTTTCTATTGCCTGTCCTTCCTCAAAAAGTTATACCATCCATGGCAGGGGTTTTCAACCTTTTTGGATCAGTGTACCCTGGGCACCCGGACATGGAGCAGTGTACCCCTGGCTGACAGATGCAGAGCTGGGGGGAGGGGTGGCACGTGGCTGGACGTGCAGCGGGTGGGATGGGGTGCGCAGCCAGACACAGAGTGGAATGGGGTGTGGTGCACGGCTGAGTGCGGAGTGGCGGCCACTGCCTGAGAGCTTCCCCCGCGTCCAGCCAAGTAGGCAGTGTCTGTGTGGCAGCGCAGGATAGTGTGTGGCAGCAGTTCATCCCTGCCCACTCGTGTACCTCCTAGGGCAGGGGCGGGCATTTATTTTGTGTGGAAAATCGCTTACTGAGTTTTGGCAAGCCATTGAGGGCTGCATGACAGGCAGCCAGGGGCAGATAAATATTAATTTTCTAAATTTTTAGGGGCCCCGCAGGCCAGATAGAATGGCCTGGCAGGCTGCATATGGCCCATGGGCCACATTTTGCCCACCCCTGTCTTAGGGCCTTCTCAAGTACCCCAGGGGGTATGTGTACCCCCAGTTGACAACCCCTGATCCCCTGATTGTCTCAGTTATCCCAGTTAGATCACACTGCTATGATTGTACTAGGGTTTCCCATTCTTTCTGCTTTTTCTTTATGCTTCTCATTAACTTATAAACTTCTTAAACTAGGCGTGTCCCAAGATTTGGCCCATGAAACTCCATCATCTGGCCCCTGGTTCTTCCTCTAGGTCTGAATTGACACACATGCTGCCTGGTGTGCACTAAACTGGCTGTGCACACAGGGCTCAGCCAGACTGGGATCCATGCAACATGCAGTTCCTCCTCCCCACTCCCTGACTTCCAGTAGCGCTGCACTTGGTGCCCACTCCAGTTGGTCTGGGATCCATGCTGCACATGGCACCCACAGGCTCTGGATCCGGCATGCGGAGAGATGGGAGAAGAGGGTGCCATGGGCCAGATCTGGCCCATGGACCAACCCTGTGCCACTCCTTTAATCCACAGGACCAAAGAAGTGTGACATCCCTGTCTCTAGCTGATTTATTATCTTGCTAATTTACTTCAGAGAACACTGTTGAGGCTCCCTATGTTGTCTCCTCTTTCTTGGTCTTTATCTGGATCACCTTGCCTCTTTAGTTCTCTGTTGGCTTTTGTCTCGGTCCTCCACTGAACCTAGTTTAAAGCCCTCCTCTGTAAGTTAGCTAGCATGTATGTGAAGACACTTCCCCAACTTCATCAGGTGGCTCCATCTATTGCCACCATTCCTTCTTCTTGGAATACCACCCCATAGTAAAAAACACCAAGACCATGATGGCAAATTGTTTCAGATGGTATGTTTACAGAATAAGGAAGACATGTTTAGTTTTAGTTTACTTTCAGTTAATGTTTTTTAAATTTTCTTTACAACCAAAATGTCTACAATATATTTTTTTTAATGAACAGTCATCTTCTAATGGACAATTCTGCTGCAGGGAATAGATTCTATAGTGAATATTACAGTTGCTGGTCCTTGTGTATAATTTTCTTGTCCTTTATTTAAGTGATTTGCTAACTCATCATCTGCATTTTAAAATTTGAGTCTAGTTTTTCTGAATAGGACAGTGTAGCAGGGCACCTTTGGCGCCTGCCACTTTAAGGGGCTTGAGCAGGATGTAGCTGGCAGGTGTGCTTAAGCCCAATTAGACAGTCACATGACCACAATGGGGCCACCAGATTGGAGGAGGGCTGGGCAGCCTCAGTATAAGCCCAGACCCTAGGTGCAGAGCTGGCAGTTACACCTAGGGAACCAGAAGAGCAACATCTTTCAGTCTGCAGTCTGCACCTCCCCAAACACCTGGAGGTCAGGGTAGGAGCTATAGGGATGGAGGAGGTTCCTGGACCTGGGTTGCGACCTGAAAGTACACCCTGCTGGGGTTGGATGGTGTGGTAGGTCTGCCTGTGGTGGGGCAGTCTCCAGAAAATGCCACACCTGTACCTCCCTAGTGAAAGGTGAGTATGGGGTACCAGAAAGCCTCAGCCCCAGTTGCCTTGTGGGTACCTCATGGAAGGGAAAATCTAGGGAAGCACACCTGTCAGAAAAGCACAGGGCCCAGGCCCATTGAATGGGGCTTCAGGTGCAGTCCAGGCATGTTGACAGACAGCTGAGGCCCAATAGGCGTAAGGCCCAGGAGCCCAGAGAGGGGCCAGAGGCTTAGTTCGGCCCAGTGTGGGAGAGAGAGCCGGAGTAGGGTCTGCGCAACTCTGAAGAACTGCACGTAGGCTGATGGGAAGTAGTGGCAGCCGGAGGCCATATAGAGTAGGGTCTTTAGGGGCCTGAAGGGCTGCGCGTAGGCTGACTGGAAGTAGAGGCTCCAGTGGGAGGGCAGAGTAGAGGCCCCAGCGGGGGGCATGTGCCCAGGGTATGCTTGAGGATGCCTGAGGCCAAGTTGGGGGCAGAGGCCAAGTATGGCCCAGCTAAGGAGCTAGGGGAGTAATAGTGGATATGAATGCTATCTGCGAGGCATGGGACACGGTGGAGGGATGGTTCAGAGTCGTGTATTACACCCTTGGTGTCAGGGCAATAAATGGGCAGTCTCCCGCCTACAAGCAACTAATTCCAACAAAGGCATGGGAGGCAAGTCAAGTGGGTGGACTGGCCTAGACAGGTGGGCAGGCTGACAATGAGACTGGCCTCTAGACAGCCCCCTGTCAGGATAGAAAATAGAGACTGATTTTTTTCATTGTGTTCTCTGTAATTTTGACTATTTGTTTCAAGACTTGTATTTCTTTTATTTTAATTTTAAACGTATTTATTGTAAAGCAATATCATATGATCAAAGTTTGTTTTGTCTGCACAGATTCTGTGGTTTCTCAAATTCATAGAAACATTTTATGTTATTGAAGCATTATACTGTTACATTATATTGTAAGGCAATATAATTGTAAGTTTAGAAGACAAACTTTAATAATTATTTATTATCATTAAAGGAAACCTTGATCTGAAAAATAAAGAGGACCAGTTTGGGAGAACACCACTCATGTACTGTGTGCTGGCTGACAGAGTGGATTGTGCTGAGGCCTTGCTGAAGGCAGGAGCAGATGTTAATAAATCTGATCGCAGCCAGAGAACTGCTCTTCATCTTGCTGCACAAAAGGTAATTAAATACATTCTCATGTATCTAATGTTTGGCTAAATTTGCACCTGGCATTCAGTTTAAGAAAATTTTATACTGAGGTAATAAGTAAATAATTTGCAGTATTTTGAAAGGACTCTAGTATTCTGTAGGCTAATAATTCTATACGTATTTGGAAAACCTTTCTGAGAATGTGGTTAGAGCTAAAGTGAATTTCTTCTTTTGCGCCATGCATTTTTAGTGTTTAAACATACTGGGTGCTTGTAGACATGCGGAACGTCTGCTCTGAAGTGCTGTAATTACAGGGTGTTGGAGCAAACTTGATTAATTGAGTCTGCTGAAGCAAGTTAATTAGCATGTTCCAGCAACCTCAGCATCTCATATATTCAGTGTCCCCTTGCTTCAAAATGGGGGTGAGAATGCTTTAACTAAAAGTCATTGTAATAGGGGGCCACCTCGTGGCCAGTCAACTCATTGGTCCACCCACCTGTCTAGGTCAGTCCACCCACCTGGCTCACCTGCCATGCCTTTGATGTAACTGAAATGGATGTTTACAAGGCAGGAAGCTAACCATTTAATGCCCAATACCAAGGGCGTAATACATGGCTCTGAACCTCCCCTTATACCATGTCTCATGCATTGCAGATGGCATCACTGTATGGCTCCGGGCCCACTCTGGGCCCCACTATATGCCTGCCTGACATTTGGACCCAACCTAGATACCTCCTACTCAGGCAGCCTAACCTCCACCCTCATTCTGGGCTTCAAAACTCCCTAGACCTCCTTCCCTCTTGGCATTGGCCCACCCTGGGACTTTTGGCTTCATAGGCCCTGGCCTTGCTTCTAGGTCAGTCAGAACTCCAGGCCTCTAGCTTCTGGCCATCCCTCGTGGTGGGCATCCTTACCCTTTGACTGCTCTGGTCCTGGCCCCAGCATAGACCAGTCGAGGTTTTTCTGGCTCGGTTTTGAGCATCTAGTCCTCTCTCCCATACAGTTCCACCTTCTCGGGCCCCTCCAAACATAGTTCTCACTCCATGAGCTTGTGACCCACATAGTTACTCTTTGGAACCCTCCTGAGCCCACTGTTCACCCTACTGGACTAATCCACTCTCTGCCCCTTACTGGGCCTCTACTCTTGCCAGCCTATGTGCAATCCTTCAGGCCCCCCACGGACCCTACTCTACGTGGCATACAGCTTTCACTCCACCTCACTGGGGTCTCACTAGGGCCACTACACCCCATGGGCCTCAAGCTCCACTCTGTGGGCCTTGGCCCTGTGCTTTTCTGTTAGGGTGTGCTCCCCTAGCCTTCCCCCCCACTCACATCACCCACAAGGTAGCAGGGGCTGAAGCTTTCCAGTGCCCCATATTCACCTTTCACTAGGAAGGCACTGGCGTAGCATTTCCTGGAGTCTGCCCTGCCACAGGTAGCCCCAGCACACCATCCTCCCCAGCAGAGTTTAGTTTCAGGTCATGCCCCAGGACCAGGAACTGCCTCCATCTCCATAGTTCCTACCCTTAAGCTCCACGTGTTCTGGGAGCAGCAGTTCTGGCCCGGCGATGTTATCCCTCTGGCTCCCTCCAGCAACTGCCAGCTCATCTTTGAGGGCCTGAGTTTATACTGAGGCTGCTCAGCCCCATCCTCCAATCCAGGATCCCTCTAATGGTCATGTGACCACTTTTAAGTTGCCTGCCGAAACCTCTTAAAGTGGCACGCACAAAGCAATTCTCTCCTTTTCAGTCACCAATTCAGCAAAGCTTTCTCTCAAGTCTGGACAGTATAGTTGTCAGTATTACTTAGAATATTGCCGTTGATTTCAGTATTTGATTTCATAGACATTAGGGCTGGAAGGGACCTCAGAAGATCATCGAGTCCAGCCCCCTGCCCCAGGGGCAGGAAGTCAGCAGGGATCATAGGATCCCAGCAAGATAAACATCCAAATGTCTCTTGAAGGCGTTCAAAGTAGGTGCTTGAACCACCTCTGGCAGCAGTCTATTCCAGACCTTGGTGGCTCAGACAGTAAAGAAGTTCTTCCTTATGTCCAACCTGAACCGATCATGGAGGAGTTTGTGACCACTCGACTTTGTCATCCCTTGGGGCGCTCTGGTGAACAGAAATTCTCCCAGATCCTGCTGAGCACCCCGATAAACTTACAGGTGGCCACAGTAGATAAAGGACCATGCCATAGTTAATTGTCAATGTCAGTAGCAATTCTGAGAAGTTCTTAAAAGGTGAAGTATACAAGTAATGTCAGGGTTGGAAGGGAAGGGAAACTTCAGTACTTTCTTAGGAATTTCTTAGGAAGGTCTTTGTGAGTCTGTTGTTCCTTCTGCTTCCAATTATTCCTTCTGCTTCCTGTTGCTTTTATATTTACTGGTTTACATTTTATTGGTAGTATTTCCAGCAATGAGATTGTAAAAATATACAACAATAACATGTACTCTGGGCATTAATAGCTCAATATCTTGTAACAATAAGAGGAGTCAAATAACTATGAGGAGGAAGGTAAGAGTCATCTGGCCAGTGAGCACAAATCAAGTGCAGTTGCACTGACTAGGTATGCAGAGGACCTAGCAATTGTTACAAAGGGTGGCAATAGTACTCATGCTAATGGTATAAAAAGCAGCTGATGAGATACAAAGCAAGCCAGTATTCTCTTTATATTTCTCTTTAATAAATATTATCTTAAATTTAGATTATATTTGAGAATTTAATTACACTTTAATCAGATTAACTGATACATGTGGTACAAGTAATGTAGTATAACCATTTACTTCATTTTTACCTTTTCATTAATTTCCAACATTTTATGCAGATGTGTGTGAATATACACAGACACTTTTGTTTTAGAAAGGGCTACAGAGAATTCAACTGAAGTTTGTAGTGTGAATTGTTGCAGGGTCTGACTCCTTATGGAAGAATAATGTTTATGCTTGAAAAGATAAATGTTTTTTACTAAGTTGTGCATGTGTAACTGGTTACTTCGTTCAGTCTCTTACTGAATGTGGAGTCTGTGTTAATACATCTCAATGAAATACCAAATCAAAATGTTCATTTACTGAGTCAAATGACTTACAAGTTCCACTGGTCAAGAATGTGACCTAAGATTCTGTAGATCTCTTACTTTTGTCTTTTATAATGAGCGGTAATGAAACCTTAAAAGGCATTGCAAGGAGGACTGGCCTGCAGCAGAATCCAGGGCCCCTAGGCCCTGTTGGGGTCATTGCAGCAGGATGGCAAGCAGGGACTGATATAACTACAGTTGCCATTTTGCTTGTTGCCACCGCTGTGGCAAGTGGCAATTTGGCCTGAGTGCCATTTATTCCACTGCTAGCCTAATCATTCCCTATGCTGCAGCTAGCACTTGTGCTCTGAACAGAGCTGCTGCCAACAGATGCTGAAGCTGGAGCCACTACTGTCACATGCTCTGGGTCTGAGTGGCTACTGCCACCACATGCCCAAGGCTGGAATCAGAGCCACTTGCCCTGAACTTGATTTAGTTCTTGAGGAGTCCCACAGTCCAGATCTGGTCTGGAACATGAGTTGAGTGTATAGACCAGGGGTCAGTAACCTATGGTCCATGGGCAAGATCCAGTTTGTGGAGCCATTGGATTAAGACCAGAGAGCTTCTGGTCTTCATCTGCACAGCACTTTGGCTGGGTGGCACAAAACTTCACTAGTGCCATTTCACCCTATCTTGTTCCTCTGCCCCATTCCTTTGCACCTCAACTGCATCTCTATGGTGCCAGAGCCACCTGCTGCTGGAATTTTTTTACTGTTGATCTTGCAGCTTCTTTTTCTTGCATTAAATACAACATTTATTCAGATCAAAGAAAAGGGTTATTATTAATATTACCTGAATATTACCTGAAGTTTACTAGCATAGTTTTGGGCTAACATATTACCTGAAACTTACTAGCATACATAAAGTGAAGTGTTCCCTCTTTAACAACTTGTACTAAAATTCCTTTGTATTTGTTACCTTTCCAAATGACGTGAATTCAGTCTCATTCAATACAGAAGTTAAATTGCTACTGTACATGCCTTTATATGTTCAGTTTTAAATAGCAATATGATTTTATAAGATTAACCTTAGTGCAAGAGAAACATTGAAAGAAAATAAAATCTGTTGGATAACCTATGAAATCTGGATTGTAGTGAAAGGCATAATCATATTGAAAAAGTTAATCATTCTTCCAAGTATCTGTTATTCTTGCACTGTTTTGCAGATATGCCAAAATATCTTGGCACTGTGGAAAGTACTGGTTTTCACAGATGAATACTTATCTTTGGCCAGTTAAATTGCAATTGCAATTTTTAGCCTTTTGCAGTATACTCCAGAACTAAAAAAGATAAAAGCATTATTTTCACAGACTGCAAGGGATCATATTTATTTCCTCTATTATTCAAATATTATAAAAGCCACAGTCTGTCTGTCTGCCTATCTGTCTGTCCATAACACTTTATTTGCACCCTGATTGGCTGACAGAAACAACCAGTCAAAGTGTGAAGACAGTGTTCAGACAGGAGGTGGCAGTGTGGCAGAGCGCCACCATGATGGTGGGGACACAAGGGACAGAACAGGGGAGGGCAAGGCTAGCACAGCTGCCCTGCTCCCTGGAGGTGCTCCCCTGCCTGGCTTCCTGGAGGTGGCAACGAAGCAGATGGAATGGGAGTGAGGGGCGAGGCCAGGCTCCTTGGAGGTGGCAGTGGTGGCGCAGGGGGGAGCGGGGTCGGGACACCACGGGGAGGGCAGAGCAAGGCCAGCAGTGACCCCCTACTCCATGCACATGGCAAATATGGAAGAAGTGGAGGTTTTTAAGACTTGGCTAGACAAAGCCTTGACTCGGATGATATAGTTGAGGATGGCCCTGCTTTGAGCAGGGGGTTGAACTAGATGACCTCCTGAGGTCCCTTCCAACCTGAATTTTCTATGATTCTAACATCATTATTTATCTAATAGTATGCCATCCTCACTCCACTCTTGATAAGTAAGGCTGCTGGTTGAAGACTGACAGATT